AATCTCCCTATGCTCCAGTCATGAGTTTCCAAGGCTATGGAAGCCCTCTGAGTTCTCCGACTCTTATCTTGTTTAGACAAGGTCGTAGATAACCTACGGTTCGACCCAGCCATCCCACTCCTTGGAATTTACCCAAAGGAATTTAAATTGGCAAACAAAAAAGAGGTCTGCACCCTAATGTTTATTGCAGCACAATTCACAATAGCTAAGACCTGGAACCAACCTAAATGCCCATCAACGATAGACTGGATAAAGAAATTATGGGATATGTACTCTTTAGAATACTATACCGCAGTAAGAAACAACGAAATCCAGTCATTTGCAACAAAATGGAGGAATCTGGAACACATCATGCTGAGTGAAGTAAGCCAGTCCCAAAGGGACAAATACCATATGTTCTCCCTGATCAGTGACAACTGACTGAACACCAAGAGGGAAACCTGTTGGAGTGAGGTGGACACTATGGGAAACGGTGGCTTGATCAGCATAGCCCTGACTGTTAATGAACAACTTAATACATTATCCCTCTTAGTAGTTTTTTTTATCTGTTCTACTTAATATGACTGGTTTAGATCTGTAATTGATGCACAGTTATTCTTAAGTGTTGAAAATTAACTGAAATGTGAGCCCTGTTGAACATGGTGGTGGGAATGGGAGAGGGAAGAGATGTATAATTTGGACATGCTCAGGCTGACTTGCCCCAAGTGGTGGAGTTGGAAGCATACCAGGGGATTCCAATTCAATCCCATCGAGGTGGCATGTACCAATGCCATCTCACTGTTCCAGGTGATCAGTTTCAGTTCACAGTTGGTCATGGTGGAGGGACTGGGAGTCAAAGGGAACACATAGACAAGTCTAGTACCTGCTAACGCTAACCGATGGAGTAAATAAAGGGGAGAGTGATCCAACATGGGAAGTGAGATACTCAGCAGACTCATAGAATGGCAGATGTCCTAAATAGCACTCTGGCCTCAGAATCAGCCCTAAAGGCATTCGGAGCTGGCTGAAAAGCTCATGAGAGTATTTCAGGCATGGAAAGCCAAGACACTCTGGCAAAAGATCTCTGTGAGTGAGATCCCAGTGGAAAGAACAGGTCATCAAAGAAGGAGGTACCTTTCTCTGAAGGGAGGAGAGAACCTCCACTTTGACTATGACCTTGTCTAAACAAGATAAGAGTCGGAGAACTCAGAGGGCTTCCATAGCCTTGGAAACTCATGACTGGAGCATAGGGAGATTACTGATGCCATAGACAGGAGTGTCAATTGGTAAAGTCAACAACAGGAGTCACTGTGCACTTACTCCTCATGTAGGATCTCTATCCTTAATGTGCTGTACATTGAGATTTAATGCTATAACGAGTACTCAAACAATATATTTCACTTTGTGTTTCTATGGGGGTGCAAACTGTTGAAATCCTTACTTAATGCATACTAAACTGATCCTCTGTAAAAAAAAAAAAAGAGAAAAGAAAAAAAAAAAAAGAAATTATCAATTCCCAACTTGACTCTCACTGGGATTAAACATGACAATAGGTCTGCTCTGATTTCATCATCATTTAAAAAAATCATCTATTATTTTTCACTTTATGTTTCTGTGTGGGAGCAAACTGTTGAAATCCATACTTAATGTATACTAAGCTGATCTTCTGTATATTAAGATAATCGAAAATGAATCTTGATGTGAATGGAAGGGGAGAGGGAGTGGGAAAGGGGAGGGTTGTGGGTGGGAGGGACGGTATGGGGGGGAAGCCATTGTAATCCATAAGTCGTACTTTGGAAAATTATATGCATTAAATAAAAGTTTAAAAAAAAAATAAACCTTGAAAAAAAAAATTTAAATGATCATAACCTTCTTAACCATTGATTCTCTTTTTAGAAATTTTGTAGAGCTACTTATCACTAGAGTTACATAAAAATACAATACCTTTTCTGGAATATTTTTAATAAGAAACCTGGAAGCAGTCATCGGTAAAACAACTCTGGAGTGCCTCCATCCTATGCCAGTTCTTACTAAGAATGATGTTGATAGGTGCTCTTGGAAAGATATGTGTGATTTGTTAAAAACAAAAAGCATTGCTAAGTGGCTTAACATTTTGTTTTATTATATTTTATTACATTCATACTTTCCATAATACTTCTTTCCAAGAAATGGTGTCACAAAGAACTTCAAATGTTTATCTCTTTTATATTTCTTAGAATAGCAAATGGTTTCTATGATTAAAGAAAATAATAAAAACTGACAAATATCCCCATTTTTCCCCAAGGTTACATGTTTTTATTATCATATTCCCATGGTTATATTTTTTTTGACAGGCAGAGAGAGACGGAGACAGAGAAAGGTCTTCCTTTTCCATTGGTTCACCCCTTAAATGGCCGCTAGCTGCGCTGCGCTGATCCAAAGCCAGGAGCCAGGTGCTTCCTCCTGGTCTCCCATGCGGGTGCAGGGCCAAGCACCTGGGCCATCCTCCACTGCCTTCCTGGGCCACAGCTGAGAGCTGGTCTGGAAGAGGAGCAACCGGGACAGAATCCGGGGCCCCAACCAGGACTAGAACGGGGTGCCAGCGCGGCAGGCGGAGGATTAGCCCAGTGAGCCGCGGCGCCGGCCCATGGTTATATGTTTTTATTAGCATAGGAAAAAACAGATAAATAAAAAAGTAGGTTTGGCCGGCGCCGCGGCTCACTGGGCTAATCCTCCGCCTTGCGGCGCCAGCACACAGGGTTCTAGTCCCAGTCGGGGCGCCGGATTCTGTCCCGGTTGTCCCTCTTCCAAGCCAGCTCTCTGCTGTGTCCAGGGAGTGCAGTGGAGGATGGCCCAAGTTCTTGGGCCCTGCACCCCATGGGAGACCAGGAGAAGCACCTGGCTCCTGCCATCGGATCAGCGTGGTGCCAGCCGCAGCGGCCGTTGGAGGGTGAACCAACAGCAAAGGAAGACCTTTCTCTCTGTCTCGCTTTCTCCCTGTCCACTCTGCCTGTCAAAAAAAAAAAAAAAAAAAAAAAAAGTAGGTTTTATTTTGCCTGCATATACAAACCTTTGTGAGAAGTTGTTTTATTTTATACCTTGTCTTGTTCCAAAAGTAAGTGAAATATCTTTTGCCCAAGCTAAAGAAATACTTCAGTAAATTAAAAATAACATGAACTATATGAATTCAGTAAACACTTGCCCTAGTAGAGACAACTGTCTTTAAGAAATAAATTTTTTATATCTGCTGAGGTATTTGGGGCTCCCTAAGGAGTGGGGCTCAGGGCCAGGGGCTCTTGCCTGGGATTAAAGGCTGACAGTGAATTGTTGCTTAGGCACATGGAAGCTGTCCCTACCCACAGTCGAGTCTTCAATGGGCAAGCCACTTTACTTCTTTAAAAATTAGTCAGCTCTGCTCAATTGTTAGGCTAAAAACTCTTTGGAATTAAGAAATGGATTTAGTGCCACTCCTTGGAGGAATAATGATACAAATTTAAAAAGTGACAAGTCAAATAATGTCATTACTGAGAAAATCTTGGTGAAGAAAATCCATTTGTAGGGGCCGGCGCCATGGTGCACTAGGTTAATCCTCTGCATGCGGTGCCAGCATCCCATATGGGTGCTGGTTTTAGTCCAGGCTGCCCCTCTTCCAATCCAGCTCTCTGCTGTGGCCTAGAAAAACAGTGGAAGATGGCCCAAGTGCTTGGGCCCCTGCACCTGCATGGGAGACCAGGAAGAAGCTCCTGGCTCCTGGCTTCGAATTGGCACAGCTCTGGCCTTTGTGGCCATTTGGGGAGTGAACCAACGGAAGGAAGACCTTTCTCTCTCTCTCTCTCTCCTCTCTCTCTTTCTCTCTCTCTCTCTCTCTCTCTCTCTCACTGTCTGTAACTCTATCTGTCAAATAAATAAATAAAATCTTTAAAAAAAATAAAAAAAGAAAATCCATTTGTAGATTTACTTCTTAAAGGGGGCTGGGATAGAAAAATGAATAACCAAAGGAACGTGTATATTCTCTCACAGCACCTGCTACTTCACCTTTGTGACATTTATCACACAAATCATAATAGTTTTCTTCTAAAAAATTACACATACTGTGTAAACTCAGTAAACACCTTGATTGATAGCAAATAAAGAGTTTCCATGTCTCTTCTCCCACTCTCCTTTCCTTAAGTCTTCAAAGAAAAATTCTCAATGCTTCCATTCCATTCATTTTTCTGGTTTTAAGTTCAGATGAGGCCATCAATTTACTATGTTTCTCAGCTTTCCTTACTTTTGGTAACTTACCTTTGGTGAATGTATGGATATTTTGCATTTGCAAGAAGCTGAAGAAGTCATAACCTGGGCCTCATAAACTTTGATTGGCGTCTACATGTGGCTCACTGTTTAAATGCATAGATGCTGACATGACTACACATATGCAAGTCTTATGTGGCCCCACAGGAGTATATACAATGTGCTATACAGAAGCTGATTTTTTTCCTGAACTAATCTCATCAGACTGGGAGGTGCCTTCCACATACCTGTTTGACCACTGTTTATTAATACTCACTGTGCCAAGGTAGTATGCCAGGTGCCCAAGGGATGCAAGGATAGTAAGCAGGGGAAAATAAATTGCTAATATTACAAATAGAATCTTTAAAGTATTTATAATTTATTTCTCTACTAGTGCAAATGCCATCCATTCTCTCACTGACCTGAACCTAGCAGATTTTCAGTTGTGACACCCTTGAAATAAAAGTACTTTTCATCAGATTTACCTTCAGAGTTGCCAGTATCAATACTCTGAACTTGATCTGTTTTTCTTTTTCATGCGTACACGAAGTTAACTTAAGGGTTGCAGGGTAAACCTATAATAATTGAATTAGATCATAATTGTGATTGTTACTTTTAAAGAGGTATGAAAATGCTTGTAGGCAAAATACTAATGTTATATATGTTGGAAATAATTCTCTGATGATATTTGTTTTACACAATCTAATTTTACCAAAACATTCATTTACATAATTTCTTTTTACTTATTATTTTCCTTTCTTTTTTGGCAGGAGTTTATTTTGTCAGAAGATTATAACAAGATGACTCCTGTGAAAAACTATCAAGGTAGGAAGTGAGAGGAGTGTATTCATTATCCACTTTGAAATGTTTCTTGAGGATTAGGCATTTGGCCCAGTAGTTAGGATACCACTTGAGGTGCCTGTGTGCCTTATTGGAGTGGCTGAGTTTGAGCCTTGATTCTGCTTCTGATTCCAGCTTCCTGCTAATGCATACCGAGGGAAGCATCAAATGATGATTAAAGTAGTTGGGTCCCCAACAACTATGTGGGAGACCTAAATAATTGAGTTCTGGGCTCCTGGCATTTGGGGAATGAAGCAGAGAATGGAAAAAGTCTCTGCCTTCCAAATTAAAACAAACCAAAAATCCCTTGCCTTAAAAATAATAATAACATATTTCTTGGGTAGTCATTTAGCCTATATTATATCCCATATCATATACCTGGGTTCCACACCCGCCTCCTTCTCCTGACTCCAGCTTCCTGGAAATGAATACCCTGGAAGGCATCGATGATGGCTCAAATGATTAGGTTCCTGCCATGCATGTCAGAGACCTAAATCATGCTCCTGGCTCCATTCCAACCATTGCAGGAGTGAACTAATAGATGGGAGCTCACTCTCGCTCTTGCTCTCTCTCCCTCTCTCTCCCTTTCTCTCTATACATAATATATATAAATTTTTAAAAAAATATTTACTTACTTGAGAAGCAGTAAATATAAATATATATAAATAAACATATCTATTTATATATATTTATATTTACTGCTTCTCAAGTAAGTAAATATTTTTTAAAAAATTCTTGGTTTTCACTGCCACAAGAGAATATAGTTGTTCTTTGGTATCCATAGGGGGATTAGTTCCAGGAGCCTCAGGAACACCAACATTTGTGAATGCTCAAGTGCTTTATATAAAATGATACAACATTTGCACATAACCCACATGTACCTTTCCATATATTTAAGATCATCTGTAGAGTTCATATAATACCTAATCCAATGTAAATACTATGTAAATAGCCATTGTACTATACTATTTGGGAATAAAGATGAGGAAAAAAGTCTATACATGTTCAGTACAGATGCAATTTTTTTTCCAAATATTTCCAGTCTGTGGTTGTTTGAATCAATGGGTATGACACCAGGAATACAGAGGGCTGACTGTACTTATAATAGTTGAGGATCAAAACAGAGCAACACAGGGCTGGCACTGTGACATAGTGGGTACTGCTGCCACCTGGGACACTGGCATCCCATACAGGCACTTGTTCATGTCCCAGCTGCTCCACTTCTGATCCAGCTTCCTTGCCAATTTGCCTGGGAAGGCAGCAGAGGAAGACCCAAATCCTTGGGCCCCTGCAGCCACAAGGGAGACCCGGAAGAGGTTCGTGGCTCCTAATGATATGGCCCAGCCCTGACTATTGTGGCCATTTGGGAAGTCAACCAGCAGATGGAAGATTTCTCTCTGTGCGGAACCAGACTGCGTTGGTATGACCTCCAGTCTTTGTCTTCCTTCTACCCTAAACTCACTGGAAATGGCAGCCAGCTGGAGATCAGAGTAAAATTGCTTTACCTGGGACTCCATTTGTGTTTGGTGGAACGGTTGAAAGTGCTTAGAGTCTTCATGCTGTCCAAAGGACAGAGTGACAATTTTAGTGTGCCTTCACAACAGTTTGCTGTTGTTTTTCTAGATCCTTGAGATGCAGTGATAGCTCATTTATTTGGAGCCTTTCCAATTTCTTAATGTAGGCACCAATTGCTATAAAGTTTCCTCTTAACACTGCTTTTGCTGTACCCCATAAGTTTTGATATGTTGTACTGTTGTCTTCATTTGTTTCCAGAAAGCTTTTGATTTCTCCTGTGACCACTGTTCATTCAGGAGCATGTTGTTCAGGAGCAATGTGTTTGCATATGCTCTAGGGATTCTTGAGTTGCTGATTTCCAGCTTCATTCCACTGTGGTCAGAGAATGGTTTGATTTTGATGTTTTTGAATTTGCTGAGACTTGTTTTATGGCCTAGCATGTGGTCAATCCTAGAGAATGTTCCGTGCACAGGTGAGAAGAATGTATATTCTGCAAGTGTAGGATGGAAAGTTCTGTGGATATCTGTTAGGTCCATTTGGTCTATGGTATTGATTAAGCTGATTTTCTGTATGGTTGATGTGTCCATTACTGAAAGCTGGGTTTTGAAATTCCCCATTACTATTGTATTTGAGTCTATGTCTCCCTTTAGTTTATTTAACATTTCTTTTAAATAGCCAGGTGCATAAACGTTTATAAAACTCACTTCTTGTAGAATTGATCCCTTGATCATTACATAGTTCCCTACTTTGTCTCTTTTGACAGTTTTTGTGTTAAAGTCTATTTTGTCTGATATTAGGATGGTTACACCAGCTCTTTTTTGGTTTCTGTTAGCATGAAATATCTTTTTCCATCCTTTCATTTTCAGTTTGCATGCATCTTTGTTGTGAGATATGTTTCTTGTAGGCAGCAAATAGATTTTGTTTTAATCCGTTCAGCCAGTCTGTGTCTTTTAACTGGAGAGTTAAGGCCATTTACATTCAAGGTGACTATTGTTGAGTAATGACTTTGCCCTGCTGTTTTTCCATAAATATTCCTATTTTTTATTTTGGATTTCCTTTGTACTTTTACTGGGAGCTTTCCCTCTTTACCTTCTTCCATAGTGATGACCACGTTTCTGTGTTCCTGTGTGCAGCACACCCTTAAGCTTCTTCTCCAGGGCTGGACGGGTGGTGACGAATTATTTCAGTTTCTGTTTGTCATGGAAGGTTTTTATTTCACCTTAATTTGTAAGCTTTGCAGAGTATAGTATTCTGGGTAGACAGTTTTTTTCTCTTTATACTTGTACTATATCTCACCATTCTCTTCTAGCCTGTAGGGTTTCTGATGAGAAGTCCATTGTGAATCTAATTGGAGGTCCTCTGAAAGTAATCCGGTGTTTCTCTCGTGCACACTTTAGAATCTTTTCTTTGTGTTTTACTGTGGGGAGTTTGATTACAGTGTGTGATGGTGAAGATCTTTTCTGGTCATGTCTATCAAGAGTTTTATGTGCTTCTTATACTTGGATGTCCCTTTCTTTCTCCAAATTGGGGAAATTTTCTGTTATTATTTCACTAAAAAGGCCTGCTAATCCTTTCTCTCTTTCCACACCTTCAGGAACTCCTAGATGTTAGGTAGTTTGATAGTATCCTATAGATTCCCAACAGTGTTTTTTAGTTTTCTAATTTTTTCTTCTTGTGTTTGGTCTGACTGTATAATTTCCTGTGCTTTTTTGTCTTTTAAGTTGGATATTCTTTCTTCTGCTTCACCAGTTATCTCCACTATATTTTTTATTTGTTCTATTGAATTATTCATTTCCAAGATTTCATTTTGATTTCTCTTTAACATCTCAATTTCATGGGAGAAATTTTGTTTTATGTCTTGTACAGATTTCAGTAGTTTGTGCATTTGCTTCTGATTACTTCTGAGTAATCCTATGATCAATTTTTTTAATCCCATTTCTGGCATTTCTTCAATCTCATCATCTTAACAATCTAGTATTGAGGTGTTGTGTTCTTTTGGGGGTGTCATGTTGTCTTCCTTATTCTTGTTTCTTGGATTGGTACATTTGTTATTTGGCATTTGTGGGAATACTTGTTGGTTTCTTTGATTTTTCGCTGTGGTGGCTTTTATTTTTGGACTATGTCTGATTGGATTAGTGGAGTGTCTGCTTTCAGGAAATACCTAGAGATGTGTGGTGAGAGTGGCCACAAGCTCTGTTCAGTGCTCCAGGGTGAAGGGTGTGTCTGAGGTGACACACCCCAGTTTGTTGTGGTAAATCTCCTTTTTTTTTTTTTTTTTTTTTTTTTTTAATTATCAGAGGGGAGATATCTTCTTGTCTGTTGGGGTAGACTCAGCTGAGCTTCGGTCCTGATAGGAGAGTAGTGCCTGGGCACTAACCCCAGTGAGTATATTATTTGTTCGCTCTGCCATAGGACCACACAAAAGATCTGTGCAGTCCTCAGTATAAGATCAGATTCCCCAGCAATGTCTCTTGCCAGGTAACCAGGGAGCCCTGATCATGTGGATCCTCCCACAGTGACTGCCCAATGTCCCAGCCACACCCTGAGTCCTCTCACACAGCCTCAGTATTTTCACTGACCTGGCACACAAGCCTCTTACAGTCACAAGCACCCGACTCCCTGTCTATTCTCCCCATCAGACTCAGGAGTCTCTGCTTGGCTGGTTGCTGGATGCAGACATGAGCTGGTGTAGCTCTTACGTATGTACAAAATGGCACCTGCTCTCTGTCAGCTTATTACAGGATGCCATTGCAGGGTGATCTAGGAGAGAGAAATGTATCCCTCCTTTTTTGTTCTCCTCTAGTTTGGCAGGTACACTATCCCCCATGTGGCTCCAAGCCAGATTCCTTCAAGGCGCTTCCTGCAGTTTTGTTGCCAGTGACTTGGGCTGCTAAAGTCTGGTCTCACCTTACTCTCCAGTGCTTGTGTAGAGGCTCTCAGCTTTTGGGGTCCTAAGTTGTGCACATCTTTGCCCTCCACAGAGGTTCACTGTGTTTTCCAATTACATAGAGTTTCCTCTGCTGTTTTCTCCGTAACTCTTCCCTGAGACTGCACTCTTTCCACTTTTGTAAAACTTTCTTCTCCTAGACTCGAGCAGCAAGCTTCCTCCCTACTCTGTCACCTTCAGAAACCCCATTAGGGGTCTTTATTGCAAGATTTGGAGCAAGCATTTGCTTTCCTGAAGTACAATTTTTTGATTTTTTTAGTACATAGTATGCTTTACTATCTGAAAATTATAATAGTGAATAAATGAACAAAACTATTATAACAGGATTATAATAGTGAATAGGACCTGTCCATGTGGAGGGTACAGAAAGATAAACAGACCATTGTATAGTAAGTGCTACGGTATTCCCCTGTTGGTCTCTGCTTAGTCTGTTGGAACTACAGGGTTAGGGTTAGGGTTTGGGTTAGGGTTAGGGTTAGGGTTAGGGTTAGGGTTAGGGTTGGGGTTACAGAAGCAGAGTACA